AAGAGCTGGGATTCCTGAGAGCTTAATGCACGAATCAATGACACCCTGGATTTCTGCAAAGACTGTGGAACCTGCAGGGGAAAAAACCCCATTATTAATGTTATAATGTAATAATTATTAACATTATTATCAAGGGCCTAACAAATGTTGCAAAGTGCAGCTAGAGGACACGGATGACATTTGCACAACACTCAAGAACACACTAAGCAGATAGGAAAGGTCATTCCAGTTACCTGTGGCCTGGGCAGCTTGCTAAAATACACGACCCAGAGCAAATAGCTTGTCCCAAATCAGCTAATTATGCTTGTGCCAGCTGTTACAAAGGACTCGTACTGGATGTGCTTGAACTGGTTGCCAGCAATGAGCAAATAAGAATTTCAGAATACGCAAACTCTGAATCTTCCTTTCTTTCATCCCTGTCCTCTGTCTCCAGAAATCTAGCAAGTTATGTAGTGGTGCAGGGAAGTTGAAGCACATGAAAAGAGTCAACATCAAAATGCAGGAAGTTTATGCTATAAGCTCCAGATAACCTTGGCTTTCACAAGCATGGCTTGTTTAACAGTGGGATTACATATTTATCTTGCGGTTAAATAAATCTATAGCAAAAAAGCACCAACCACAGAACCCCAAAGCAAGAAGAACAAGCACCTTACCCAGGAAAGGCTCCTTAAACTCCCTATAGGGCAGAAAGGCAGGAGCAGGACTCTGGACTATTTAGCCCTACAAGCAAAGGCTATTTCAGAAGATATGAAGAAACTACTGCTGATTAGTTAAGGGGAAGGAGAAACTGTGGGTTAATACTTTGCCTGGATAGAAGGGATCCTGTTTCAGATGAAAGCAGTTAACCGTATTTCTATGAAACAAGATAACATCCCTATTCTAAGGGAGCAACCTTATCTACTTCCTAGTCTAGTGAAGGTTAGGAAGAAAGATGCTTGCATTGCTAGTCCCCCACGGATCAGAGCAGAAAAAAGCAGCTATGACTACTGCATGATCCTCAGGAGGAAATTTAAATACTCAGTGGACACTGATTTGGCTTGAAATACAAACATGGTCTTGGTTATAACTTCTCAGACTAACTACTCATACCCCTCTTGGGAATCCTATTGAGCTAGGAAAGTAACATAGCCGTCGAGGTGTTCTGACTGACTGCCACCTGCTTTTAGTTCCAAGACTGTGAGGGTAAGAGCTGCACAATAGCTATTTATGACTATCTGGTTCAATGGTGGCCAAAGTGTTGGCTGAATTGGTGTACGGAACCAAAACAACATTGACTACTGCTACAACAGCAGCACTGAATGAAGAAATCGGAGATTTGCTCCCTGCCCCATACCACCACCAAATGGTGCCAGGCAGTCTTCAGCTTTAGTAACTGATGGCTCCAATAATGAATAAAACAGCAGTTTTCTTTTTAGATCAGGTGTTTCTACTTCTTGGCACTGACAACATTTACACAAAAGCTATCAGACTCCTCCTCAGAGTTAAATCTACGATTTTTGTAGCTTGAAGATATCATGTTTCATTTACAGAAAAGAAAGCAGTAGTATTATGCTTCATAATATCTGGCTCCAGCTTATATATAAGGAAAACAATACCGTCCAGCTACTTTGCACCAAGTTTTGTCGCGCTATCAGAAGAAAGCTAATGAAAGCTTTCGTCTCGCTCATTTGAGGGCCTACAAGGACTACAGTAAATTGTTGTCAGTAACAATGGAAGATAATTTTCTCATCACATTTAAAACTTCAACTATTTTTTCCCATTTATATCTCTAAAGGGATAATCAATATACAAACAGAAAACATCTAAGTACAGAATATCTTGTGAATGTTCTTGAAGCAGCCCAGAGCACATTGCTAGTTTAAGATGAACTGAAGAAATAAATTTGGGCACATCACTTTAAATTGTGTATTTCTATTTAAGATATAGATTCATGTATATAAAACACAAAAAAAGGTTGGACCGTATTCTCTGTAAACATCAGCAGTGAAATGTAAACACATTCAACACACAAAAATTGATCTGCAAGGCATCTTACCTGATTTGTCAATAATTGCATCAATTTCTTCAATGACGTCAAAATAGGCTTCATTGTTTGTGTATTTTACACCTGCTCTGCGCCAAGGAATGTTGGACAATTGTCCCGTGGGAAGTGTGTCACCCACATTACTACTGCCTTAAAAATGAAAAGGAACTCCAAATCAGTAATTAATTACAAGAGCAACGTTTCAACTGCCAAAATTAAGAATCAAAGCAAGATTTGGCCCCGAGAACTGTTGCCTAGAACCTGGACCACTAAAATTTCATTCATTAGGTGACATGAATGCACTTTAAGGATGTGTCCAGACTTACGTTTTTCAGACTATACTTTGCACAGCAAAATACAAGGCCCAAGGCAGCAGGAGGTTTGAGTGGGAGCAGATGTGGGGCTAGATCCTATGAAGGATTTCATCACTACAATTGAAGACATTACAGCTCCTTGTGAGGGCCTTAAGCATGCTTCCCCCTTCTCCTGGGTTTTAGCTGGCTGACTTCAGGGCTGATTAACTGATAAGAGTTGCTATGCAGAAAGATCTGGAAGAAGCCTTCGGGAGGGCTCCCACCCCTTTGCTTGGGAGCAGTTAGGCTGAGGCTCTCACCCTTGGTACACACCTGTTACCTTGCAGCAACACGACAGCCACGTCTACACCTGACCGCGTGCCAAATCGATCCAGACCCTGGCCTATAGATTTGACTTTCTGGCTTGACCTGTCTCATCATGATGGACTTTCCTGGCAATCACTGAGCTGTAGATGACCCTGTTATCATCTGATACCGTAGATACTGCAGATGCCCCTGATATCATACTGACCCTGACCTGTTGGCTCAACTTCTGGGATCCTTAACAGTGATGCCCCTGCCCTGCCTGCCTTGCTGTCACCCTCGGCTCCTCGTTCTTAATACCATCCAGTGTGAGAAAAGGGCTTCCCAAGCTATCTAGTTACAAAGTAAACTGAAGATTCTTTAAAAAGGAAAAAAAAAAAAAAAAATCACTTCTGGGGCTTAGGTGACTGATCTTGGGATCTCAGTACAGTGGAATCAAGTCCCTCTGCTAGAAGTAGGTCTCAGGAGAGGGCCAACGCTCACGCTTGCTTGTGCCCTTCAGCACAACGAATGTGGTGGCGTGCCCAGCGGGGTGAGACAGCTTCACTGAGAGGCTGCTGCCCGGGGCTTACCATTTCTACCACAAACTGCTGGGTGGGCCCTCTACTCGCAGGCAGGTAACAGCAGCTTTCATTCTTCTGAGCTAGAAGAAAAACCCCTCCTTAAAGTCCACTCCCACTGCATGCCCGGGGTGGAGCGCTTGCCCTGTCTGTGCCTCTGTCCCTCAGCAGCCTTGCAGGCCAGGTAGGCAGGAGAGCGCTCAGGCTGCCCCGAGCAGGCTCGTGAGGCTCCGAGGGAATTCTAATAAGGCTTTAGATAAAACAAGAGGATTTGATGCTTGCAACCTTTCGCTTCAGGAGTCTTAATTCCCCGCACAGTGGTGCATCTAGTCCATTAACGTCATACTTATCCCGTAAGTATAACTACTACAATGCAAAACCACATTTAAAAAACCAAACAACCGAAAACCAGAAATGAAAACTGACGAGATTTATACTCAAAGATCAAACCACATGTGTTACCTCAAAGACCAGCTCTTCCGGGCACCACCTCTGCATGGCTCTGCAACCCACCTACTACTCTTCTCTAACACAATGTGCAGGCGAACATCTCACATATCTCTGACCCCGTGTGACACCTCACGGCGTACCTCCCTTGCACTCGCTTGCCAGACAAGCAGATTCCACCAGCTCAACTGACAGACATTTGGCTCTGTCAGTGCAAAGCATACCCATTTACAACAGCCTGAAACGCGCTCCAGACTTGATGGATGCTGATGGTGGTGCAGATGGGGAGGAAGCCAAGGACAGGCTATTTGCTTCCCTTCACGCTATCTGTTCCCAGCCAGCAAAGATTCATTAGATGTCTGTTATATACCTTTCTATAATGATTTCTTATAAAATGCATAACCTTCGCCAATGGCCCTCAGTTATTCAAGGCTTGGGGCTAGCTCTGTACCAACCCCAGAGCACCTGTCTCCATCCAGCATGTGCTGGGAACTGCTATTCCTGAGGGACTTCAGCAGCTGTGGCTGGACCAGACAGTGCCACTGGGGATATCAAAGGGGCCAGGCATAAACTGCAAGTAAGGAGGAAGTTGTTTACTCAAGCCTTGATTGTGAGAAGTGGCAGGACAGTGGCCTCACCTTACAGATTCACACCAATGTATTATTTTTTATCTATGAAACACAATGGGGCTTTGTTTTCAAACAGCCAGTGACCGCCGAAAATTAATTATTTTCATACCTGTGATGGAGTTGACAACGGAGCGCAAAATTGTGGGAGGCTTAATCAGCTCCTTCAATATGTTAGATTCTGTTGCCAGTGGGAAGCCGTTGTCTAACATTTCTTCTAGAAGTTCATACACAATAACTACATTGTCCTTAATTGCAGTCTCAGAACATTCACCAAAGTAATCCTAAACAAATCAGAGATTACAAAGGAGAGGATTTTTAGTTCTGTTAAAATGCTTTGCAAAAGTTTGGGGTTTTTTGCTTACAGAAACAATCCAATATATCACGAAGTTTTAGTGCCTAAACTGACTAGCTACTTCTACAGTCTGATTGCATCATATGTTAAGGTTACATTTATCATCTAATTAGAAATGAAGACAGCGTGAACAGTGAAATCAATGTAATCTGCTTTACTGGTACGTATGTCCCAAAGGTTCTCCTGCTTGTGAACATTAATACATCTTCAGTTAGAAGACTCTTGCAAAATAAGGAGACTATCTTTTGGCAATGCCCAGTCTTCACAGAGGTTCCTTCATTTACAGTATCTGTGAAATAGGCTGAAAACCGACTCGTGCATCTCATCTCTCTCCTCACTACAGAATGCTTCATGACTGCATACTCCTTCTTGTTCATCTATATAATGTGAACAGTACAAAAGCTTGCAGAAAAAAGACAGCATTTACAAAGTGGGATTTGGGTTTTAGTGCATATGCACTGATATCTATAAACCAAATGAATACACAAAATATACCTTCTTTTCCTTTGTACTCTATAAACAGTGCTTGACTTAAAAATTGCAAAGGGGAAAGTCACTAATAGGAGGCTTTATTACCCTTCTTTAAAATAGTTTACTCAAAGATTCCCTTGGAATTACTTCAATTTTAAAATTATTTAATGGTGACAGACCTGGAAAGTATCTGCTACTCGGTGTAGAAATTCGATTACAAAGAGTGGTGGCACTTCTGTCTGTATGACAGACACAAAGAAGATCTTATCCCGATAGATGCTGATGAGGTAGTGATGTGGCGTTGAGATGACAGGAGGCACATTCTCAACATCGACTGCTTTCTCCTGAGCTTCAAAGAAATAATCACACACAGATTGGCTCACAACGCTCTTCCAGTGCTTCTCCAAGAATATATCCCCAGAACAGTTTATAAGAAACAGGCTGTGGATCATTTTCTGTTGGAAACACATTCAAAGAAGTTAAAATAAACAAAAGGTTATGAGGATTGACATTATTTCTTCTCCCGGATTCCCTTTCTTAACAATGGTTTTTCTTCATTAACACACACTGTGAATTTAAGAAAAAGATCTGCTTTGCAACTTTTCTTTAAATTACATTTTCTTTATTTAGAGGATTGTTCCACTACAACATTATTTCACAGTGGATTAAGTTGCTAACAGGTATCGCAATGTAAGCAAGAAGCTAGCACCCATGATTTCCATTTTCACCCCTATTCGGTGTTTGTAATTTATTTCTTAAAGAAAAGCTGACTCTCATGAGTTGTCGCTCACTTAAACATGTTTGTCAACATGTAAGGGTAACTTATACGTAGTGTTTCCTACGGCAGAGGAGTTTGCATAACATTTAGACGCCTAACTAAGAATTGGACTATCATCTTAAAGACACAGCTCTTTAGCTTGTCAGCTTTCAGAAGTGAACTAGAAAAGTGTTTTTTATTTGCTGGCTGATTAGTCTCTTACTTATGACCTATGCCAAGCTGCACTTGGACAAAGGGCTGGAATTCATTAAAAGTACACAAAAATAAGAGTTTAAATCTGGTTTAATGAATAGAATTGCCTCAAATGTGCTTGACACATAAAATGTTTTACACTTAAAAACTAACTATCTCACTCACTCATGAAAACGAGGAGTATGTATGAACCGCAGGTAAGGAATGGAACTTTTTTCGTATATCTTTAAAGATTTACAAATAACGTGCCTCAGCCACTGATCCTTCATTTTATTCATGGGACAAGAAGCTTATCTGCCTTTTGAGAAAACTAATTCCCAGTCTATTTCTCAATTTTCAATGAGATAATAAGTGAAGTTGTTCGTTCGAATCAAGTGAATAAAATATTTTCTCCATATCTACAGAAGAGACAAATGCTATCAGACTTCAGTTTATCTCTTTAGCCTTTACACCAGACAGATATAATGCTTTGGCTGACCTGCAGCATAACTATCCTCTGACAAAAATAAGGTCCAAGTTTAAACTCAGGCTTAGAAAACCAAACAAATTGTATCTCAAGCACTGGCTCCTCATGGTAAAGTTAACCTTGTACTTATATCCTGCGTAAATTAATTCTGTAGTTGAAGAAGCTGCCCCTGCCACTGGCTATTCATCCCTTTTGCCTTCCAGGTACTGATGTGAGCAAGTCTGTGGCTCTGTAATTACCTACGTCAGGAAACTGGTCCAGCCATAAACTGACCCAGAAAAAGGAATTTCTGGTCTGATCAGCTTCCTGATGCAAGTTATTACATTCCCAAAGAGTGTTACAGCTGGCGCAGAGGAGGTGGTGGAAATGGGCAGATGATAGCAATGGAGATACCTTGAATTGATGTTTATTTAGCTTTTGGAGGAATTCAAACATGACTGGAAAGAGTCCAATCAGACACAAGTTCGGTCCCCTTACCAAGGACACCCTACACAAGGGTGTCCACACCTTGAAACAGGAAGACCACCATCAACTCTGCATGTCCAAGAGAAGCCAAACACATCTGCCAAAAACCTATCATAGTTTTCATTAATCTTAGGATATTTGGCCAGGATCATGCCATAAAATGGCAGATAAAATTTGCTCCCTTGCTAATATTAACTCTGGCACACAAATGTGAAGACGGCACAGAAACATTTAGACGTAAATGGTCCAGTCCCACAGAGATATTAAGGAGTCTAAACACTGTATGATTAAGCCTCATTCCAAAATACTAGAATAAGCACTTAGCTCCATCCAGAGTGAGCTCTTGTTGCTGTATCTGAATCTAAACTCCCCAGAGTACTAGGGTGACCTCCCAACACACTTGTAACACTGAAAAATGGTCTGGCCCTGCAGATGTCGGCAAAACAAAAGTATGTCTTCCAATGCTCACCAGAGAAGGTCAGAAAGGACTACTAAAGAAGGTAGTTAGCATGCTATTTCCCTCCACCTAAGTCAGCAGATGTGGGAAGGGAGCCAAGATCCAGCTTTTCAAATTCTAAACTCCAGCTGCTCCTTCACATGCATGACAGCAACGTGCTCATCTTCATTGGGGCCTTGCCAAGTCTTAGATACCTCCTGCTAAGAGCTGGTAGACACAAAAAGACCAATAGTCAAAACGTGGACAGGAAAATCCAACGCAGCCAACATGGTGTGTAAGAGGAAGTTCTTTTGGAAATTGTGATTGCTGATTTGCTTAAAAGTGGGTAAGGAAGCAAAGCTACAAAGTGTTACTGCGTATATTGTACTGTATCTCTCTTGGACCAAATTAATCTCTAATTTAGTTTGTTAAAAAACCAGACAGTTTTAATAATTTGAGTACAGCATTCTTATAAAGGAGCCTTGACACAATTGCTTTAATCCAGTTTAACTAAACATGTTCTGAATTTAGCCAGCGCTGAACATTAAACCCCTCCAAAATCTCCTGGATAGTCACATAACGGTGGCAAGTATAATCAACCACTGAATGTCAGTATTGTTCCACACCAAGGCAGCCCAAACATATGATCAGCTATAAAGCTTAGAATAGTTCTCTGTACATTTTAATATGGACACAATAGCATATCTGTTAACAAATATAAAACACAGTTCCTAGTAAATGCACACAAAGCTGCATAGGAGAGTTTCAGTAGAAGCAGCACTGGTAAGACTCCATTTCCAGACAACTTGATCTACAGCCCACTGGGGAGAAGCTATGCTGGGCTGCAGGCAGCTTCGGACGACACTTTGACAACGCGTATCATATACATGGGACAAAGTATTTTTAAGTGCTAGCAGTTGTCCTGCTGTTAATGTTCATACAAATTCTATGCATCAGAAACAATTGCATTTGTCACGATATACTTTTAACAAGCACAGCAGTACAGCAGGCCAACAAAATCTCTACCTAAATACAGCAACTTCATTCTACTGTGCCTGCAGCAAGGTCCTGGCGCACGAAATGGCTGTGTTAGCACGGCCTCTTCTTGTGCCGTAAGTTCCACTTCGGCTATTAGACCTCGACTTGATATGCAATTGAGGGAGGGCACAGGTAGCCAGAAAGGGCGGCAGCGCTGGACCACTGCTCCTGCTTACTCCTCTGCCCCAAGCTGCCCAGGTACCAGCTGTGTTCATGCGAGTGTTTGTGTGGCCTCGTGGTGAGGGGTAGCAAACTGACCCCGGGGACCATGCTTGGCAGGTTATAGCTTTACAGAATCTGTGGAGACTGAGCAGTAAAATCCCACCTAGCTGCCTACTCTATCTTCTGGGTAGGAACACAGGGATTACAGGATTTCCCATGATACATAATTATTTTGCTTCTGGCGTAAGAGTTACCTTCAAAACCCCTCACATACTCCTTTCCTTCTTCACCAGTTTTAGCAGCACGCTAATTTGCTGCTAATTTGAAGTGCTCCAGAAAATCGAAGCTCTCTGCTTGCAGTTTAAGAACAGAGCAGGCAGACCCCATGGGCACAAGCCCTGCCCTGTCCGTCAATGGGCAGCTCTGTATGCTTCCCTCTGCCAGGGCTGACTGTAGTAAAGCAGCTCTCACAGCAGTGGGGACAGCAGTCTATCATACGCAAGGCTAAGTCATTTGATTTATCCCACACACTGGCAAACAATTGGCACCAGCCAATTAAGGATAGATTTCATATTGGATATCTTACAACTGGTACTACTACAAAAATATCTTATGTAAGCTATTACTTAAAAAAATTACTTACAGTGCTACTAATACTGAAGATTTCCCTGCTACTCTATTTTTTGAGTGCCAGATATTGTTTGAGACACATAGACATCCCTGAATTAATTTCTCAGTACCCTACCTTCTTCTATCTCATCAGAACATCAGATTTTCAAAGAAAAAAAGTTTAAAAAATGCTGAACATAAGAAATCAATCTAGTAACAGTAAGATTCCTCACACCAATAGGTCAAGTTAATACTTGTGGTCAAACAGCAAGGCATGTTAAGAGCTGCGACACTTTGAGGGTAAAGGTCTTGAATCAAAGTTCATAAGTTTAAAAAGCAGTAGCAAAAGCACACCACGAAAACTTAAGAATCATGAGAATACCAGCAGCATACACATACACCACTTTGAGATGGCAGCATAAAACCACTCTATGTAAAATACTGAAGGTGTGCGTCTAGGACTATTTCAGAATGACATGCCTAAGAAGCAGACTGAAGTACGTGGATTATTATTTGCATCTTTAGTACAGAGCAAGCCATTCAAGCTCATTTTTAGCAGGCTGACAGCCTTACATACTACTGCCTGACTGAAAGGCATCTTACAGGCACTGCAGCAACAAGCAACCCAGCAGAGGTTTTGCAACTTCTTCTCACATGAAACTCCACAGGATTCTTTGTAGTCATTTCCATCCTACCAGAATTTGAAGTCCTCGCAGAAAAGCTAAATATTTTAACTGAGGCACCTTCAATACACCGTTTCCAAGTCTGTATCTTTTCTTTTGACTAAATCTGGATTTTGCAATGTTACTGTTTTTTCAATCTCTTGGCAGAGAAACATCTGGACTGAAGTCACAGCAGGCTCACAAGACAAAAGTGGAGCTCATTGGCAAGAGGGAGAGGCTGCGAGCATGGGAAAAAGACTGATTGCACGTGCTTGTCCTTAGCTACAATTAAGTACTCTAAAATGCAATTAATGCAGAAAATACTGTTACCAGCTGCTTTTCCATAACACTGAGCTGAGTTAAGAGTCAAAGCTCTGAAAACCAGGAAGTGAGGAATTTATCACTGACCTCTGCAATGCCCTTTAGTGCTAGTAATAGTTCCTGAAAACGGCTCAAAATGGGACCATCACTGGGAAAGTATTCCACAGCTTCCGTGCTCCGTACATTTGGCATAGCTGCGCTGAAGGGCGGACGGATTAGTGGGGGTGGCCTGTCTGAGCCTCCGTTATGTATCTGTGGAAATGAACTTCTAGTGACAAGTGAATGGAAACTAATCGAATGCTTAAAGTAATCTGGGCAAACAA